TCCGGCCTGCTCATCCATACTCACATTAAAAAACATTAGCAGCAGTTCAGGATTCTGCTTGATTCCAACTCCTGATACCACCCTAGCAACCTGAATATTTGTATTGTTGACCTTTTGTCCCTTTTCTGAGATCCGCCTGGTTTTAAACACCAAAACAGATCCTGGTTCCTCTACTCCAACAATCTTCATCTCTGTTTAATCTCCCCTCACATGTCACCATTCTGAAGCCCATTTTCTGTGTTCAAAACCTTTGTCTTGATATTTCTTCCACTTCCTCTACACATGTTCTAACTTTTTACTAGAACGTTCAATCCCTCAAAACAGCTGTCAATTCTATGTGCCTATCTATTCTTTCAAGCCATTTTTTTCTCTGTAAAATCCAGTCTAGCCATTGAGTGCAGATAGTACAAATATAGTATAATTTTAACCTCAATTCTACACTTACATGCTCCATTGTGTGGTTACAGGCAAGTTACTAAACCTTTCTGGAGTCTCAATTACCTCATTCATCCCCAGATCTAAAGGATTCACACCCTGCAAACTAAGGGAATACTTAAGGATTAAATCTAGCAGTGTCTTACAAGTAATAAACCCTTTGACAGCTTCCTCTTTCCTGGACATTGCTCCATCAATTACCCACCTTTCCTTAAATCTTTTTTTCTCTTCCTCTCCACTACGGACATCACGTCAGCCAACAAATAATCTCAACTCCTACCTTCCCCCTGAATGAGTATTATCTCCTCGCTATCTCCATTTCACTTCCTATTTCTCTTTAACCTGCAACAAAATTGGATTGCTGTACCCACTATTGCCCCCACAAAGGTCAACATTCTAACACTTAAATTCTTTTTTTAGGTATGACTAATGAAAGCTTTCTGTGGTATCTAACACTGATGATACCTCTTTCTTAACATTTCTGCCCTCTTGGCTCACAAAACACTTTTTGATCTGAACTCTTCAGCCTCATAACATTTTTTCTCTTTTGGTGTCTCTTTTTCTACTCTCACTTAAAAGTGTTGCCATTTCTCATGGTTTTCTTTCCATTTCTACTTAATGTTTCCTACAGTCTTCCACCCTGGTGGCACAGTGGTTTAAGCACTTGGCTGGTAACCCACTAGCTCAAACCCACTAGCTGCTTTGTGGGAGAAAGATGTGGCACTCTACTTCTATAAAGATTTACAGCTTTGGAAAACCTAAGGGACAGTTCTACTCTGTCCTATAGGGTCGCTATGAGTTGAAATCAACTCAATTGGAGGAGAAGGGGTTAGTCAATCACTACATATACTGAAGACGTAACTTCCAACTCTACCTCTTAACCATCTTTGGACACCAAACCTCTATTTATAAAAGCTTAGGTGACATCTTCTACCTCGATATCTAATAGGCCCTTACAAACTTGACAAGATCAAAATTGGATTATTTTCCCATTAGAAACCCACCCACTTTTATTCACTACTTCATTTAAAAGTATCATAGCAGCTAAAATTTATAATGCTGAAGTCATATCACACTCTTCCTATTCCTTCCTTCACATTCAGTTAAATAATCACAGTTATTGGACATCTGAACTGCCTCTCAAATGCTCCAAATGCTCTCCTTCCATTTGGCCTTGAATATTACATCCTTGTTACCAACCTGAGAGTTCATTTTCTTCTTCCTCCAATTAACTGTTCAAATGAACCCCAGAAGTCAGTTTTCTAAACAAATTTGATCATCACATCACTTTCTCATTTAAAATTATGCTTCCCTCCCAGCCTACATGATAAAGCTGTTCTCATTAAATATTCTTAACTGGCTATGACTGGCTATGAGGGTTAAAGCATTGGACTGCTCACCAAAAAGGTTGGCTGTTCAAACTCACCAGCCACTCCACAGCAGAAAGAAGCGACAGGCTGCTTCCCTAAAGACTTACAGCCTTGGAAATCTTATAGAGAGCAGTTCTACTCTGTCCTTCACAGTCACTATGAATCAGAATCAACTCAATGGCAGTCGGTTTCTCTGGTAGCACAGTGCCTAAGGCACTTGATTGCTAACAAGGCTGGCGGTTCAAAGCCACCAGCCACTCCTCAGAAGGAAGATGAGGCAATCTACTTCCACAGTGATACTGCCTTGGAAACCCAAGGAGGGGTCACTATGGGTCGGGACCAACTCAACAGCACATAACAACAACAACAACATTCCATTACTAGGTCTATATCCTAAAGAAGTAACAGCCAGGACAAGAACAGATATATGCACACCCATGTTCATAGCAGCACTATTTACAAGAGCCAAAAGATGGAAACAACCTACGTGACCATCAACAGAAAAATGGACAACCAAACTATGCTACATACACACAATGGAATACTATGCAACCCCAAAGAATAATGTAGAATCGGCAAAACACGGCATGACATGGATAAACTTGGAGGACATTATGCTGAGTGAAATAAGTCAATCACAGAAGGGCAAATATTTTATTAATCCATTACTGTAAAAGTCAAGGAAAAGTTTATATATGAAAGGAAATTTTCTTTGTTGTTTACCAGGGTAACACTGATAGATAGATAGAGACAAGTATTGATTTGGGTGAAGAGAAGGGCAATATACCAAATATGAGTAATCAACACAGTGGCATTGAGGAAGAAAAGACATAAGACAGGTGCATGGGAGGTACAGACAGCAAAGACAAACCCTTCTGCACATACAGTACTACACTATCAGTGAAGACAAACATTGATATATGGGTAGATAGATGGGTGGATGGGAACTCTGGTGGCATAGTGCCTAAGGCACTTGACTGCTAACTAGAAGTTTGGAAGTTCAAACCCACCAGCCATTCCTCAGAAGGAAGACTGCGCAATCTACTTCCATAGTGATACAGCCTCGGAAACCCAAGGAGGAGTTGCTATGAGTCAGAGACAACTCGACAGCACATAACAACAACAGATGGGTGGATAGGCTGAACAATTAGATATGTCTTTGCAGGGGAGGAGTGTGCCCAAGACCATGTATAGGGCTGGCAGACAATGTTTCTACAAGTGTATTGGTATGTTCTGTAAAAATCAGTACAGCAAACAAGGGGCAAGGTTGTAGTCATTTCTTGGCCACAGCCACCTACTCAGAGGGAATGAGTAGTTGGAGCTGTGGGCTCAGGACCATAGTTGCAGGGGACATCAAGCTCAACTGGCATAATATACTACACAAAAACATTGTTCCACATGCTACTTTGGCAAGTAGCGACTGGGATCTTAAAAGCTTGCAAGCAGCCATCTAGATGCAATGATGGGTCTCTCCTCATCCACAGCAAAGAAGAATGAAGAAAACCACAGACACATGGAAACAATTAGTCCAAGCAACTGGTACACCATGCGATCTTCAGCCTATACGACTATGAAACCAGAAGAACTAGATGGTGCCTGGCTACCACTGTCAACCACTCAGAGGGGGATCTCTGAGGGAAATCCTGGATAGAGTGGGAGAACAATGTGGAACAAAACTCAAAATCATTTAAAAAAAAAAGTACCAGGTTTGCTAGTCTGATAGAGCCTGATGGAACCCCTGAGACTACAGCCCCTACCTGCCCTTTAGGTCTGGAATTGAACTCACTCCTGTGGCTTCCAGCCAAATAAAAGACAGGCATATGAGATGAACATTTACAATAGGCAGATACACTCCTTGAAGAGTTCAATCATGGGAGAATAGAAGAGCTGGGTATGCACAGGGGGAGGCAGCTTGGGGGTCAGAAGTGCATGGGAGGAAAGGACAAGGGAAGAGGTAACTATGGGAAGGGAGCTGTTGCATTGTGGTAAACTATAATCAATGTCATAAGACAAAGTGTGTGTTAGCTGCTGTATAGAAAGTGAATTTGCTCTAAACTTTCATCCAAATCACCATAAAAATAAAAAAAATAAGTGGCAACAACAATACTATTATTTATATACAAAATATTGCAGTAACATTAACAACAAACAATTATTTACAAGAGGATACATAGGTAAATATGCAAGTTGAATAGGTGTAGGATGGCATATGGAAGCATACACACAAGTATATAAGTTTGGCAGAGATTATTTCTACCTAAATATTTGTATGTGCTGGAAATATACGTAGGTATACAGTAGAGCATATACAAGGCAAAGTTACGAAAACTTCTTACCCATTATCAAATATCTTGAGGGACTGAGTCACTGGGCTTGAGGACTTAAGCCCATAGTCTTGGAGATATCTAGGTCAACTGGCATAACACAGTCCATAAAGATAATGTTCTAAATTCTACTTTAGTGAATAGCGATTAGGGTCGTAAAAGCTTGTGAGCAACCATTTAAGATAAAATTACTGGCCTCTTCTTATCCAGAGCAAAGAAAAATGAAGAAATCAAAGAGTCAAGGAAACAATTAGTTCAAAGGGCTAATGAACTACATGAACCACAGCCTTCACTAGCCTGACACCAGAACTACTAGGTGGAGCCCAGCTACCACAACTGCTTTGACTGAGATCACAATAAAAGGTCCCAGACACAGTGGGAGAAAAAATGTAGAATATTCAAAATCATAAAAAACACCAGACTTAATGGTCTGACAGATTGGTGGAACCCCCGAGACTATAGCCCTTAGACATCTTTCAAACTTGGAACTAAACCCACTCCCAAAGATCATTTCTCAGCCAACTTATAGACAGGCCTATAAAGTGAACACCCACACTTGTCAGGAGTATGAGCCTCACAACAATCAATCATATGAGAGAGTAATAGGGTAACATATGCCCAAAAATAAAGGTCAGAAGACAGGAAAAGGCAGAAAAGAGGGTGAATGGAAACACGGAACCCAGGAAGAAAGTTTAAAAAAAAAAAAA